GTCCTTCCGACCTCTGTCGCCTACTATAGTCCGTCCGACCTCCATCAACAGACAACGGTCTTTCTGACCCCGGTCTCCTGCCGACTACGGTCCTTCCGACCAAACAAACATGTATATATAACTCCTACCATGTAATGCAATATATATGATGTATATTTGCTACATCAATACAAGACCTTCTCCAAAGGAAAGGCCTCATTTGTAATCGACTGCAAATACTAGTGGATTCATTCAAACTGGGCTAGGCCCTGTGGTTTTTTCCCCTTTTTAGGGGTTTTCCACGTAAAAACTCTGGTGTCTCTTGTGAATGTTTCACCCCCTCTCTCATCTGATTGTGTGCTGGATCTTCGTACAATGTTAAGACGTTAAACCATATATTTCTCTACCGCCACGAATATTCCAGGATGCAACAATATGATTAATATTTCATCTCTGCTGCTCTTTCGTTTCTCTATTTCTTCTTGTCGCGGGAAGTAAGAGTTCTGAAAGTGTGGCTTTTATTAGCTATCTTGTATTATGTACCGTTAGATTTATTATTTGTTATCTGTACCGTTCATTTGTATTACCTTTCCTCTATATATTTAGCTCCTGTAACCGTGCATAATTAAAAAAGTCATTTTACTTCGCTCTTCTTCAACCTTTTCCTCTCGGTCATTATGGTATCAGAGCGAACCAGGTAATTTTTTTCCGATCGTTTTTTTCTCTCATCTTCGTTGTCATGGCAACGCAAGAAAATTCATCTACTTCTTCCCCCGAACCTCCTATTTCTTCTCCTACCTCCGACATTTCCATTCCGGCTTCTCTAAAGTTCTTAATGTCCAATGTGAAAACTATCTTGAATACTCAACTCACCACAGATAATTATCACATTTGGCGCTCTCAAATCACGAAATTGTTTTCGGCAAACAATTTTCTTGGCTATCTTGATGGCACAATCTCAAAACCCCCAAAACAACTTATTCGTGATAATCACACTGTTGTTGTTAACCCTCAGTACAGTTCTTGGTTACTCATAGATCAAAATTTGGCCTCGGCATTGTTTTCTACCATTTCTTCCTCAATCTTGCCGCACGTCCTTAATCTTGATTCCTGCGTAGATATTTGGTCTACGTTAGAACGCCGCTTGCAGTCTTCTAATCGCTCACGGATCTTGCAACTCAAGAACGAATTGCATCACGTTAAAATGAAGGATCGCACTATGATGCAATACCTATCCGAAATCAAACAACGGGTTGATGCCATTACTGCTGCTGGTTCTCATATTGAATCCGAAGATATTATCCTATATACGCTGAATGGTCTTCCTCCTCCTTATAATGCATTCAAAACATACAATCCGAACCAAAATGCATCCTATTCATTTGGATGATTTATACGCCTTACTCTGTAGTGAAGAAACAAACATTACTACAGATATTAGTTCTGATAGCTCTGCTGCGACTGCTTCGGATTCTTCATTTGCTCTTACGGCTTCCAACAATCGTTCTCGAGGACGGTCTCGCGGCCGCTCATCAAATCAACGTGGTGGTCGGTCTCAGTTTCCATCTGTTCGTGGAAATCATCAATCATCTGTTCCTGTTGATTGTCAAATTTGTGGCAAATATGGACATTCCGCTGCAACCTGTTGGCATCGCACCAATCTTTCATATCAACCAACCACACCTCAGGCGTTCTTAGCTCATGATGACACGCCTCCGGCGGAGTGGTTTCTTGATTCAGGCGCAAGCACGCATCTGACTTCCGATGCGTCTTAGGTTCAATACATACAACCATATACAGGTAATTCACAGGTTCAAGTTTGAAATGGGAATTAACTTCCCATTGCTCATTCGGGTCAAGGCATTTTGCCCACACCCGCTCGAAAGTTTCGCCTCAATCATCTTCTTCATGTTCCTCATATTACACATAATTTGATCTCTGTTAATCGTTTCATCAAAGATAACAACTGCTATATCATTTTTTATTCTAATGGCTTTCTTGTTAAGGACTCACAGACTCATCACCCTCTTCTCCGAGGCACCAGTCGTCAAGGGCTATACCCTATTGATCTTCCGTCAACTGCAGCGGCCTCTCCTCAACTTAAATCTTTTCTTACTATTCACAACAATGCTTCTATCTGGCATCGACGGCTTGGACATTCGGCGGCGGAAATACTTCATGCTCTACCTAATTGTTCTTTTCCGAAAAATAAATTTCATTGTGATTCTTGCATTCGTGCAAAAATGCATAGATTACCATTTTCTTTTACTAGTGTTAAGACAAAATCTTGTTTAGATATAATTCACACTGATGTTTGGGGCCCTTCCCCAATTATTTATGTTCAACACTATAGATACTATGTTTTGTTTGTTGATGATTTTACCCATTATACTTGGGTTTTTCCTATTAAACAGAAATCTGATGTGTTTAAAACCTTTCTTTCTTTTAAAAAGATGGTGGAAAATCAATTTCATACCAATATCAAAGCTATTCAGTCTGATCGTGGCGGAGAATATCTTAATAAACAATTTCAGAACTGTTTGCAAGATTTTGGTATTATTCATAGACTAACTTGTCCCTATACACCGCAGCAAAACGGCGTAGCCGAGAGAAAACATAGACATTTAATCGAAACTATGCGCACTTTATTATTTCAAGCTAATATTCCGAATCAATATTGGGTTGATACCTAGTTAACTGCTGCTTATCTTATAAACAGGTTGCCCATTAATCCTCAAAATAAACTTTCTCCTTATCAATGTCTTTTTAAACAAGAACCTGATATTCATCATCTTCGGGTGTTTGGATGTTTATGTTATCCTTGGTTACCTCCTGTTCAAAGAAATAAATTTCAGCCTCGTGCTGTAGCTTGTGTCTTCCTTGGATACACTAATAATACGGCTGGTTATAAGTGTCTTGATACGCTCACAAATCGTATTCACATATCTCGCCATGTTAAATTTGTTGAGCACGAATTCCCTTTTAAATCTCACCTCTCTACTCAATGTTCTTCTCAATCCAATACTGCTGCTACCTCACCCGCGTTTGTTCCTCCTCTCCTGCTGGTTCCTGCCTCTGTTCAAACAAACAATAATACCACATATAAATCATCCCACCAGCAACTTTCTATTGCTCCTTGCAATTCTATTAATCATGATTCATCTCCTAATTCAACTTTTTCATCCAACCCGATTAACACTTCTTCCAGCATACCTCGGGATAGTTCTTCCTCTGTTTCTCGTCATCGCATGGTTACTCGAAGTCAAACGGGTTCTCTTAAACCAAAACAGATATTTGACCTCCAACACAATGTGATCCCTCTCTCACCCACTTCCTTTGCTGAAGCAAACAAATTTTCCGTTTGGCGTGACGCCATGTCAAATGAATTTCAAGCCTTACAAACTCAAGGTACTTGGTCGTTAGTACCTCCTTCTGAACAGAACATACTAGGGTGTAAATGGTTGTTTAAAACCAAATTTAATTCTAATGGTACCATTGCTAGACACAAAGCTCGTCTTGTTGCTCAAGGGTTTAAACAAGAATATGGATTTGATTATACAGATACTTTTAGTCCTGTAGCAAAATTTCCTACCATTCGTCTTTTGCTTATTGTTGCTGTTAGAAAGCATTGGCCGGTCTATCATCTGGATGTTTCTAATGCATTTTTGCATGGCAACTTATCTGATCAAATTTTTATGAAACAACCACCAGGTTTTATTGATACACAATATCCTAATCATGTTTGCCATCTTCATAAGGCTATTTATGGGTTAAAACAATCGCCCAGGCAATGATTCTCCACATTGTTTTCTGCCCTTCTCAAACTCGGGTTTATTGCTAGCAAAACTGACCCTTCCTTGCTGATTTTTAAAAAAAACTCGGTCACTTTGTTTTTACTTATTTATGTTGATGATCTGTTGCTAACAGGAAATAACTTAGCTGAACTTCAAACTATTTTACAATCCTTACGTAGCGTCTTTAATTTACGAAATTTGGGCCCTGTTACTTATTTTTAAGGAATTGAAATCACCTCTTCTCCTACAGGTATGCATCTATCTCAAAAAAAAGTACCTTACTGATATTTTAAACAAGAATGGATTATTACAATGCAAACCTGTTATGAGTCCTCTTCCTTCCAAATTACCTGTTATATCTGATTCTTCTGTTTTGTTTTCTCAGCCAAAACAATATAAGCAATTAGTTGGATCGCTTCAATATATCACTATTACTCGGCCTGATATTGCTTTTGCAGTAAATTATCTTTGCCAACACATGCACAATCCCTACGAAGTACATTATCAGATTTTAAAAAGAGTCTTCCGCTACCTTAAAGGAACGGCAGATTACGTGCTTCCTATTAGTCCGTCCACATTTCACCTTCAACCCTTTGCTGATTCGGATTGGGCAGCAAATTCTACTGATCGTCGATCGATTTCTGGTTATTGTGAGTTCTTAGGCGATAATCTTCTTTCCTGGTATGTTAAGAAACAACCAACTGTTGCCAGGTCCTCTATACCGAGGCAGAATATCGGGCTCTCGCCGCTGCAGCTAGTGATATAATGTGGTTAAGGAGATTATTAGCTGATTTTGACATTCCCTGTTCCACTCCTACTACTCTATTCTGTGACAACATTTCGGCATTAGCACTTGCAAACAACCCTGTTTTTCACGCAAGAACAAAACACATTGAGGTAGATTATCATTTCATACGAGATTGTATCAAGAATGGCGATATTACTGTACATCACATTGCTTCGTTGGATCAGCCAGCTGATATCTTTACTAAAGCCATCTCTTCTACTCGTTTTTTACAACTCAGAAACAAGTTAACCATATGTGGTTAACTTGAGGGGGGATATTAGCTATCTTGTATTATGTACCGTTAGATTTATTATTTGTTATCTGTACCGTTCATTTGTATTACCTTTCCTCTATATATTTAGCTCCTGTAACCGTGCATAATTAAAAAAGTCATTTTACTTCGCTCTTCTTCAACCTTTTCCTCTCGGTCATTAGCTTTGAGCTTCTCCGCCTCCGACGACGTTGCTGTTCTGTGTCGTGTAAATTGAGTTCTGAAAGTGTCGCTTTGAGATTCTCCGCCTCCAACGACGTTGCTGTCCTGCGTCCCGTGAAGCTTGTCCGCCTCCGACGACGACGTTGTTGTTGTCGGATCGGAAGTCGCGACGGGACTCGCCGCGAAGGTAACGATATTTCTCGCCTTTCGTGCGCTTCTTCGGCTAAATCCGCCAAAATGTTGGACTTACGAAATCCGGGATTTAGGGCAAAAATGCCGAAAACGCAGTGAAGTCCAGCGACTTACCGTGAGATTTAACTTTGCGTTTTTTAGCGTTTGGCAGGATTTAGCTCAAATCTTGTCTAAATCCGTCCTAAATCCTGCATACAAACCGGCCAAAATGCTATAGCCATTTTGCCTCTTAAAATAAAAATATATAACTTAATTGAACAGCCTTTGATTGTAACAGAAAAATCTAGTATTTGAGCAACTCAGAGGCACATTATTTTTGCAGGAGGGTCATGTAATAGTTAGTGTGCTCATGCAAATTAATATGCTATTAAGAGAAAATTGATTTGTTTTATAATTCCTTGTATATATTGTTAATTGTTTTTTGTTTTAATATATTATTAATCAGAGGAAAATATTTTTTGAATAAATTTCTTAATATAGATAAATTTTATGCATATTTAACTTATTAACAAACTTTTTTTTTTCAGAGAGAGTTTCAATAATCATATTATGAATAAAAAATTAAGTGTTAACACAAAATAAATCATAGTTGATTTATATTGGAGGGTATTTCAATCTAATTTTAGATATCACATGGAGAGCAGGAACAGTGGCAGAGCTAGAAACTTCTTATAGGGAGGGCCTAAATTTTTTTTGTTACTACTCAGCTTCTTTTTCTTATTTTACTCTTCATCATTCTTCTTTGTCTCATCTAAAGTCATCCATAAGCTTGATTTTTAAAACTTCTTAAAATACATTTCCATAAAATTTATGTCAAAATTGATTTTCTAGACAAAAAAATAAGAATCTAGTCACTATTTAGACAAAGAAGCATTTTATCAAAAACCACAAGAGCATATCAATTAAAATTCAATTTCATAACAGGAGAAACAAAACAGGACTTAAAAGCCAATACAAACTTCATTTTTCATAGGAAGGAAGTCATTTTTTGTCTCCAATACAAAATGCTATTACTATCTTGAATTTATTAATTATATGGCATAATTTTTCTGCATTTAACGAATTCCCAGTTCCCACAGACATGGATCACCATGACGAACAATAATAAGATACATAGAAACTTTATATTCTTCTCTTCACTACAATTAGCATTCCTGAAAAGAATCCTGATAGTAAAAAACAAATGGGATCAAGAAAATGAAGGGCTAGAAAATTTCAAATAACATTTTGTAAGAATGTAAGCGGATGGTTGTTTAAATTTAGAATGCCTAAAAATATTCCAAACACTATTGGCTATTCTGGTGTGAAAATCCTCAAATAAATGTAATAAGAAGAAAAAAAAAAATCCATATCATTAAAAATCCAAAAAAGAAGTCAGGAACGATCGAGAAAAAAGCAGACATTTGTTGCATTTTGCGAATCTTACCTCTCATGATCTGTCGAGATGACGAGGTGGAGCAAGGCAGATGAACCTCAAATGTGGGAGTAGAACGAATCTTCCTCATAGATTCTCAAATCAAGTGGGCCTAGCGGTCGAGTGGGGCTGGCAATTCGATTAAGCAGACAAGCAAAATGAAATTAGGGCTGCCGCTTCCCACTTGCCAAAATAAACGCCCGCAATAGCGGAAGTTTCCAATTTTCTGAGTGCGGAAGAATGATATATCCAATATAACTATGAAAAAATCATAAGTATTTGAGTAATGATATTCGCTCCCTTATTAAGAAATATAATGAATGAACATGCCATTTTTTTTAATTAGTATAAAAATGACTCAAATGTTTTGGAAACATAATTTTAGTTTGTTAAAATAATTCTCATCATGCTATCTAATAATGTAGTTTGAGCATTCACCAACTAGAGCTAGATTAGAGTTTTATTGCCCACTCTTGTACCATTTTTCTTGTAGTTGTCAACAAATCATGACATCCATTACTTGAATCATGAAAGTTGCTCCTTACCAATCGGGCGGAGTAGTTCAATGATGCATGGATCGATGTGCTTGTTCTTTTTTCATGATAGGTCTTTAAAATCACTAGCTAGTATTTTTAATTTATTTTAACAGTCTTCATTTAAACACTTGGACAATATACAACACTCTTTATAATTGCAACATATGGATTGACCACTTTCTTATATGTACATATAAGAATGACCACTTTCTTATATGTACATATAAGGGTAAACAGTTTATCCCCTGACTCCTTCCCCCCAAAAGTCTATACAATGAATAGGTTGATCACTTGACTTATCTCCCTCCTTACTTGCACAGGCAATGGCAAGATATTCGCTTCGCCCCCAAACTTCTCCTACTCTACCTTTAAATCCTGCTCAACGTCCCTCTCCTACTACAACTCATCCATAACTTCAGCAAAAGCTAGTAGGCACATTCTCACTTTCTTCCTCATCCTCCATCTCCTTGCTCTCATAATATCCCATATGTAAAGAACTTGTTAGATCATTCAATTTCTACTCTAACCTTATTTGGTTATTTTTCAACCTCATTTAGCCACTTTTCAAATCCAGAATAATGGTAAAATAATGATTTTTCCCTTCTTAAGATGGAATGAATTGACTTTCAGTTAATTGTACTTCATGTGTGTCTCATTCTATCTCCTTAAAAAGGTGCTCTTTTTCACATTTATATTTCTAATTAGGAGAGGATAAGTGGAAATACATAAATGAATTTATAGAAATTGTCTTCATTAACTCTATGCTCTGGCTTATGATGGAAAACTCCCAGCCCAAAAAAAGTTATATATCTACGTCCTTAAACATAAGAAATAGATAAAATATATGCACTTGCGAGTCGCAAGCACGTTGTTGCTCTTTCAGCTCAACATCCTTGGTAATCTCTCTCTAATAAACTCAACAAAACTCTTTATCATTTATGGTATGATTACATAAACTTAGTATTGGAGTCAAACTACATATCCAACAACAATATATTAGGGTATGACATTCTTCTTTAAGGTGGTGGCTACATAATGCACAAGCCACAATGTCTCTCTTCAGCCATTGCAGTGTCCTCTCTTATAACATCTTATCCCATGGGTATCTAAAAGATGCCTCATCATCTTTGACCATGAGAACCAATTAGTGAAGATATTACTACGTTTGTGATAATTGAAGAGGACACAATCTATAAAGTAGCCCAACCCAAGTTTTTATATATCATCTTTATTAGTGCACTTTATAAAGCATTCTCTTGATCAAATTTTTAAAATTTTTATCCTCATCCAAGAAGCTCTAAACCAACATGTTGTTTCTTTTCATCCTCTTAAATTCATTATCAATAGGGAACTCTCCAAAAGTCAACTCAATCACAGAATCACTGAAGAAAAGTCAATAATCTCAAATTTAATGTTATTCCTTTCAATGTTGGACATAGTGGAGTATTGATCATTCTTGTCATCATCAATCATCATTAATGATAATTCATGATTGAAGATACCAAAGAACTGCATTTTAGGAGCTCTTAAAAAGGCCTAAATAGGAATCTCTAAACCTGGACAATGAGGTAATTAGCTTTATATTGTCTAATCAGTTTCTCCATAACATCCCAAACCATATACTGTAATGCCTCTCAACTATTAAGGCTAGATTAAACATCTATACATATCACAATGGAAAAAAATTATGAACCGCCTTCAACAATAATATAACTATCTTGGATAATGATTGAACCATCACTAAAAATGATTGAACCATGCCAGATCATGATTGATTCATCTTCAACCAATATTAGAAGAGTCTTCAAATCATCTTCAATGCATGATCAAATGTTCTTTGAACCATATTTAAATTATCATTAAATATTCCTTAAACTTTTTTTAATCATTCTTCGAAGATAGTTTGATCAGGATTGAAGAAGGTTCAAAGACAGTATGAAAAGGTTTGAAGATGCATGAAAGAAGATTTAAAAATTCCTCAATCATAGGTTGCAGATTGTTCAAAGACTATTACTGATGGGTAAATCATTTTTTAAAATGGAGAGAATAATGTTTAAATAATATTCTATCATTGTTTGAAGATTGTTCATATTATTTTATCATGATTTAATCTTAGTTTGAAGATAAATGTAGTTGAAAGATAACCCTAACATAACAAGTTCCTAGCAAGTAAACTAAAGTTTAATGTCGAATGGGTTTAAGGTTTAGAGTATGAAGATCGTTTTCAACCCTAACTGACAAAGCAAAATACATCACTAACATTTGAAAATGATAAATAGAGAGACTGTCACTATGACATTTAGTCACAAGGTGAAGACGAATGCTTAAGATTTGCTTAAATGGAGAAGGTGATAGAAAGAAAAAGGGCTTATATTAAAAGGTCCCGTAATTATTTAGTGAGGGGTCCGACTCTATTTGTTAAAACTTAGTGGTATTGTGGTCTAAAGAGAACTTTTAAGCAAATTTTTGTAAGAAAACAAACAACATGCATATTTTTCATATATTTTTGTTGTGTTATGAGCATATGCACTGGGTCACATGGGCGCCACGGCTCCATTTGCTAAAACAAGTTTTTATATATTTTTTCTTGCCATTTTCTCTCCTCACTGTCGTGGTTTGCCGAGTAAGGAAGAAGAGAGGGAAGAGAGAAAAAATCACATTTTGGTCATTTTTTTGTCGTTGCCCTATTAGGAAAAGTCTTCTGATTGTTGTAAGTAACCCAATTTTTACTTTAGCTTTCAATAATTTTGTATATACTAATTTATATTCTTCCAAAAGTAATAAAAATGCATTTTTCCTGATTTATCGATCTTTACAGTGTAATATTTTATATGATGGATATGATTTTTAGGGACATTTTGACTATAATTTTATTAAGTTTCACCGAGTAAATTGGGAGTTATGATTTTCCGAAGATTAATGAATATGCATTTTATAGAATTTCCTTATTTGCTTTGTATTTTACACGTGTCTCTGCATTATATAGGAAGATGACACTATTGATATAAGATGAATAAGGTATTTGCATTTAAGCAAGGAATGTTG